AATATTTTTTTTTTTTTTTTTTTTTTTTTTTTTTTTTTTTTTTTTTTGGGGGGGGGGGTAACATTTGCAGTCAAGAGCCAATTACCTCTGTCTTGGTCTGAAAAACTTTCTGTGATCTTTTTCATCTTATGTTGCATACTGATTCCAGTTTATCTCATAACAGATTTCTGCCTTTTTGATACTGGTAAAATTTTATATCTTATGCATCTAAGATGAGATGCTTTCAATTAAATCACTGCTTAAAGAAACCTTAGAAAACCTATTACTGCTTTAAGGTAAATAGTTTTTAAAATATTTCTCTGAAACTTCTAGGGAAACAATCAAAAAGAAAAAAGAAAGTGGAGAGGCTTCTGCAAAAAAAGCAAAAATGCAAGAAGAAGAAACAGTTGTTTCCAAAAAGGTAAATATTTACCCCCCTGAGATATTGATATTGATATTTTCAATGTGTACCCATTGGATGGATCTTAGTTATTATTACAATATCTATTTTCTAGATGTTTTATATTCTAAATGGCGCGGTAGATCAGTAAACAATGAAGGGAATGGATCTATATACGGTTAGGGCTAAAAGTCCAAATGCTAGATTACTGGAATCCCTAAAACTCCTTACTTGAATTTCAAGTTAAATGTATTCAAAAGTTCGTTTGCATGTTCACTTACTTCTGCTATTTTTCTCCAGTCGATGTCTTTTGTGAGATTAAAAGAAGCACTGGCTGTGGATTGGAGTTCAGAAAACATGTCCAAACTACTGAAAAAAGTACCTAAGACATTCTTTATCATACAAGGTAAGATCGATACGAAGTTATTTGCATCTCTTTCGTTTGTTATGCAATTCATTCATCTATTAGTTTATTTATTTATGATTATTATTTCAGTTCTAATTGTCATGTTATACAACCAGTGTTGACTATGTTTTGTGTCATTGTTTTTCAGTTTTACTCAGATTTAGAGCTCAATACAAAAGGGACCCTTCTCCAAAGTCCAAAGAAGAAGACATTGTCAACCTGTTGAAATTAAGGGATCAAGTGCTGGAGGAACTGAAGATTAGCAAAGATTTTGTTGATGATTCTTTTGCCAGGTGAGAGTGGCAAAAAATGAAAACAAAATGAAATTGACTAAGAATTATCTTTTTTTTTCATTTTAAAGCTTTGTATTTAAGTGACAGTGATATTTATCCTGTTATGTGCGATAGTGATACTTATTTATACCTTTAAATGTATTTATATGGTCTGTGAATAGGTTAATTTGATTTTCAAAATAATAGTGTTAGTGCTGAAAATGTTCTGTTGATTACCACCTTGTTTTCAATAGAATGCTACCTTAAAACAGAAGAAACCAACCAATCAAAAAGTGAATTTATTGAAAATGTTTTCTTTTAAAGAAAGAGCAAATTGCTCACCTTGCTATTTTTAAGAAAATAAACATGTCAGTATTTTTCTGTTGTTTAGCTACTGTTTTGCTGAACTCAGTCCAGTTTGTGCAATTGTTGGAGGAGTCTTTGGGCAGGAAATCATAAAGGTAATTTTTTTTTGGAAGGTATATAATAAGAATTCTAGAAGATAAAATGCATTTCTCAATTATCACCAAATTAGTTAATGATTTAGAGGCACAATTTTGTTTTAAAAGATGATAATAATATTTTTCAAAAAAAGAAAAAAGTAATAATAAATGGTTAAACAGAACCAGCTGTTGCAGCACATTTTTAAAAAGAATGTGATTTTTTAAATTCAATTATGTTGCCTTAACTGCTTAAAGGCTTGCATTTCAAGGCAAAATTTGCTTCATTGTCAGTCTTTCTACATTGGTGCACATGAGAGAGAGACGGTGAGAGAGTTTTTCTAGAAGTTCAGATGTCATCCATCTCATATCTTATGGCTTTTTCTGAGGTGTGGCTGAGACACAGTTTGCTTTATCACAAAAGAAATGTCACGGTCCGTGTAACACAGGCATAAGGATATGTTGCTAATGGCTTGCTGCCTCAGAGACATAAGAAAGAATAATAGACCAGTTCCTGATGCAATGTCTGGCTTGAGGTCCTTTGAAATGAGTTCATTTTCTGGGAAATCAATTTCTCTTAAAACATTGTACAAATATTTGTCTTGACTCTTAGTCCCTGAGGCTATTTGCCATGGAAAGTGATATGTTTCAGCGTTTCAAAGATTTTTGGGAAAACAGGATTTGTGCCATGTTTTAACGTTGGATTGCCAAGATCTTGAGAAGTGGAATAAAAGGGGTTGTCATTAAATCAGTTTTGAGAGTAAATGGGCAGTGGGGAGTTTTAGTCATGTTTAGGTTAACTTTTTTTTGTGTATTTTCTATAGAGAAGGGAAGCCTTTCCCAGGATCATTGATTTATATTGTGACAGTTTTTGCAGATCGCCTGAAGATATGTAATCATTTCCTCGTGCAAACTTTTTTTGTCTCTCACCTTTTTCCCTGTAATTAAACAGTACATATGTATTTGCCTCTGTAACACATTGTACCCTTGACCTAGCGCTAAGCTTTTCATGGTACATCCAGATTTTGCTCTTTGGTCAAAGAAGTCATCCATCAGATTTGCTTAAACAAAACCGTTGAAGTATAACACCATTTTATGTGCTTGTGTTCTGTAGATCTTTCAGTATTTTGATTGCTTAAGTGGTTATATATTTACTTTTGTGTGATTCAGTAGTTTTATTCTGTACATCTTATTTGTTTTAACAGCTCCATGCCTACACAAGCCATTTTGTGTTTTTCCCCATTCCGATGACTTGTAAAATATATCCTTTTTTATGTTTGTTTAAGGCTGTTTCACAGAAGGATGCACCACACAACAATTTCTTTTTCTTCAATGGTCTTGATGGAAGTGGAATGGTGGACTGTATAG